ACATGTCAAGAAAGACTGGAAATTTTTAGCTGTGAGTATGGAGACTTTATTTGTGATTGGAGAAACGTGTACAACCATTTAGTAGTCACTTGCTTGACATGACTAGTAGGACTTGTCTGTTTAGTCATGAAGCATCCCTATAATCTGGTTATGTTTCTATAATACCTGCTTGTAGGATTAAACCCAGACTGTTCCTTTGACAGAAAATGGAGTGTCCTTGAGGTATTGGAAAAACTGCTGCTTGCTTTTTAAAAATCTGCTTCATCAAGTGGAAAGGGGGAAATTCTGTTAGTCACCATCAGTGACTGTTTCCTTCTGCAGAAGAATCTTGTGAAGATTTTTTTTCTCACACTTCATGCAGAACCCCACTTCTTATTCTTTTTTCACCCTCCCCCTTCTGTTTTGTGAAATGGGATTTGGGGACATTATGGGTTTCACTAGTAGCTGGTGCTTGGGTTTGGGTTTTTTTTTTAACAAAACACAAACCTCAATCTCTTTTAATGCACACAAGGTGTATTTTAATTAATACATAATTTAGAAAGTGTTCAGTAACTTTGGAGCTATCCAAACTTTTATTTGTACCTGAATGCAGGTGAATTGAGAATTAAAGCAACTTCATTGTAAAGCAAGTAAATAGCTTTGCAGTACAACCTATCTTGAAGAAAATTAAGAAATAAATGTGCTGGTATATCAAGCGATTATTCTTTTTCTCTTTCCTCAGTTGCCTATTATTATGGTGGTTGCTTTCTCCATGTGCATTATTTGTTTGCTAATGGCTGGTAAGTCACTATTGGTTTTAATTCCATAAAATTGGCTTGTTTCTGTGTGAGCTTCATGTAAATGGTTACCAGTAACTATTGAGTATAAAATTGCTGACCCTGAGATTAGCTCAGTTGTTCAGAGCATTGTGCTAATGACACCAAGGTTGTGGGTTTGATCCCTGTATGGACCATTCACTTAAAAATTGGACTCGATCCTTGTGGGTCCCTTCCAACTCAGAAGATTCTGTGATTCTGCTTCTCAATCATTCTAAAAAGTGTTTGAGGATTAGCACTAAATCAGTAGTGTGGAAAAAAAATGAGGTGCTATATAAAGCAATGTTAAAACTCGTGTAGAAGTCACTTAAGGGACAGTTAGTTGTCCCCAAATTTAGTTGCACCTGAGTAGACATCTAGCTTTATTGTAGGCTGAATGAATCCCCAAAGGAATACCTGTGTAATTTTGGGCAGAAGTACAGTTCAAAGCAGTCAGATATAGGCATAAGCCTGTTCTGGTGGATGCTCCCTTAATCTAAATCTGTGTTAGGATTGGTGAAGGTTTTTGCCTTCTGCTTTTTCCTTGAATTTTCCAACATTAGTGTCAGTAGAGTTCTTGACTGACTTCCTTAGATGTCTGCTCGATGTGTTCCAAGAACTGTGTGGCAAACACAATTTTTTCCTAGGTAAGGAAATAGAAAAAGACCTGTGAAAAACTTCTGACTTCATTTGACAACAGATCTCTGACAAAGGCTTTGAAATATTTTGCTTTTGGACTGAAGTAAAACTCTGGAAATAATGAACTAAAAGGTTTATCTCACTCTTCTTCACAGGTGATACATGGACTGAGACATTGGCCTATGTGCTTTTCTGGGGAAGTGCAAGCTTTGGAACTTTTGCTATCATCCTTTATAATGGCAAGGATTTTGTAGATGCACCCAAGCTGGTCCAGAAAGAGAAGATGGACTGAATTTGTGTGTGTGGAAAGCGGCTTAGTACTGAGGATTCTTCAGGCCACACTTGGAGTCTCTACTGACCTGCTTTCCACACCAAGTAGTGCTCTGTTGGACATTTTTCCTTGGCATTGGGGGGGTGGGGGTAAGGAAACCATGTCCTGTGGTGGTGGTAGCTTTCAACTGAGACCTGACTTGACAGTCTTAGTTGCAATGGTCTTTGGAATATTGCATTAGTGGACAGGGCTCCACTCTTACTGGGGTAAAGCAAAGACAAAAGTCAGCTTTTTGGTGTCTGGAACATCTTAAAGCTTAAGTGGACTGCTTAAGTTTATGGTCCATCTGGGCTGTTTCAGCTGCTTTTTCTGATCTTGACAGGAGAGAGCTCTGATGCTGTTCATGTGTCAAAGTACCCAAATGTTGAAGCATTAATAATGGAGCATCTGATAGTGGTCTCTGAACAAATATGGCTTTGTACCAATGAAAAGTCTAGGTCCAGACTTACAGCTGGATTACATTTGTTGTGGTAGAGTCCATGTTAAGGAGTCCTTCGTGCATATTTGTGTGTGGATTCTTTTCACTAAATACAAAAGGTTTTTTGAATTCTAATGCTATTCTAAAGTGAGGTTTTTGTCCTGTCTTGTTTATCTAGAACTGATGCAATATTCTGCTAATCATTGTTGGGTGAAAGGGCAGTGTAATTGGATGTTCCTGAAGTTGCAAATGTCTTGCACTGTTTCAATACTACAGTCTCCATATGAAAATTCAGTAGTTAGCAAGTTAAAATATAGAATTTTCTTTCTAAAGATGTAAACAGAATCAAAGAATGTAAAAGTCCTTTGCAGTGTTTATTGAACCTTCCTTATGCTAAAGTTCCAAAGTATTCCATTACTTTTAAGAATGGGTTACAACATAAAAGGTGAACTTCATATTGTTTTGCTACTCAGCTGCTTCTATCCTTGGTTATATTGAAATAATTTATCAAAGAAGGAATAACCTGAGGAGAAACGTTCAGTCTAAACTCCAAGTTTGCACTTGGGAGGAGCAGCTTGCTTTTCATGCATGATACTGTAACACACACTTTAAAAAAAAAAAAAGGAGGAAAAAAAAAGCTGCTGACTAATTCATGCTGGTTAATATGTCTTTAAATTTAGTGCTTCCAAGCTGTATAAAAATAAGGACCAATTTTAAGCTATTTTGTCACTTAATTTTATATGGTTTGTTCAAAACCTGACATGGAACTTGCTTAAGGCGCTGTGCATTGTTTAATATTTCCTGTAAGTACAGCTGTATATTCAGATTGCGAGTATAAAATTTAAATGGGGGGAAGGGAGAAACATGTAGAATACTACTAGAACTAGCACAGTTGTCACTATTGAAGCTAGAACACAAAACACTGATACTCCAGTGTTCCCTTGTGTTATGACTGAAAATATGTACAGGGTTTATTGTTTGTTTTTTTTTTGCAACTGTTCATTTAACCTTGAATGTTTCTGGAGGCCTCTCTGGGTTTTGTGAAAACATAACCTGTTCATGAGCACTAGTCTTGCAAAGTACCTGTTTGCTTCTAGATGCTGTAATGGAAATACCAGTTGGTGGTTAACTGGAAAATCCTGTAACTTAAAATTTTTAAAGGTGAACTCCCTCATAGGCACGAAGTACAAGAACACCATAGACTCAAAATTTGAAAGTAATGGTTCTGATGGCTCATTGGCAGGTAGAGTTTGAAACTTGGCTCGGTTGTCTTGCAGTCTAGAACTAAGTTGTTGCATCTTTGATGAAGAAGTTGTTGCAGCAAAGACCAAACTTGAATTGCTAATATAAAAGGCTTGTAAGACATAAAATAATGTAGGTTTTAGAAGTTGGAAGGCATCTGTATTTCAGTGCTTTGCAAAGAGTCTGTATTTCTAAATCACAAATGGTGTACTCCTTAATGACAATAAAATGTTCAACTTTTTCTAGATGTACTGTCTCTGTTACATTTTGTGTGTTGGAGTAGACTGTTCCCAAGTTGCTCCTTAGAAAATGTTTCTCACTCAAAGGATGCTTCGGTTTTGTGTCTGCTCACGAGCAAGTGGTGATCGTGGTCTGCTGTGCTTAAATATTGATGATCTGACACTGTGCTCAAAGTCAGTTTTCACTAGTGTCATGTTCCAGTCTTCACTGCTGTGTCTGGATCTCAGTCTGAGAGCTACTGTGGTTGGAGTTCTCCAGTGCTGCATCCCAGGTATCACTTCTCCTCAGTGCCAATGGCTCTTTGCCTCTTCCCTCACCAGGGCACTTCAGAGAGTTTTATTGACCAGAGCAAGAGGTGCTTGGGGTGAAAATTCAAGCTATCTTCTCTCTTTTACTCTCACTAGGTGAATAGATTCACACACACACAAAATTATTGCTATTACAACTTTGGATCCTGAAGCTGTAATTTTTTTTTTTTTAATAAACTAGTTCCTTACAGGTACTTGGCCTTGGGTTGGGTTTGGTTTGGGAAATTTTTTTTTTAAGTTCAAAGGTTTAAAATTAAGTACTTTTTTTTCCCCTAAAAATATATTTTAATTAAGTAAGGCAACTATAGCTGTGAAACCTTAATGAAAAGCCTGGTTTTCACAGACTGAGCACAGTACTCATTCTCCTTCTTCCATCCATCTCCCCCCTTCTTCCATCTCCCAGTGCCAGTAGATCAAAGGAGGAAATCCTCCCCCTGTACTCAGCCCTGGTGAGAGGCTGCATCTGGAGTGCTGTGTCCAGTTCTGGGCTCCTCAGTACAATAGAGGCGTGGAGCTCCTGGAGTGGGTTCAGTGTAGGGCTACAAGGATGACTGGGGGACTGGAGCATCTGTCATGAGGAAAGGCTGAGGAAGCTGGGCCTGTTCAGCCTCAGAAAAGAGAACTGAGAGGGGATCTCATCAGGGTCTGTAAACGTCTGAAGGGAGGATGCCAAGAGGATGAAGCCAGGCTCTGCTCGGTGGTGCCAAGCAATAGGACAAGAGGCAACAGGTAGAAACTTATACACAGGAAGTTCCACTTGAATATGTGGAACAACTTCTTTCTGTGGGAGTGTTTGTGCACTGGAACAGGTTGCCCAGAGAGGTTGTGGATCTCCCTCACTGGAGGTATTTAAGAACCGTCTGGACTCAATCCTGTGTCCTGGACTCTAGGACGACCCTGCTTGAGCAGAGAGGTTGGACCAGACGGCTCTCAGTGCTCCTTTCCAACCTCCCGCGCTCTGTGAGTCTGTGATTCCTCCACGCCGCAGGGGGGCGCTGTCCCCGCGCCTCCCGATCGCCGAAGAGAGCGGCCCTTCCTGGCGCGCGCGGCCCATCCCGACTCTACCGAGAGCTCCCTGGGCTCCGCTCTGCCCGGGGCTCTGCTCTGCCCGGGGCTCCCGCCCGCCGCTCCGCCCGGCGCCGCCCGCCGACATGAAGCTCGTCAGGTGAGCGGGTGGGCTCGGATGGGGGCCGATGGAGGCGGATTGACCGCGCCCGCCCGCGCCGGCGGCCCCAGGCGAGCCCGCGCTCTGCGGCCCCACCGCGGCCCCCCCCGCACTGCGGGGACGGGAACGGCCCCGGGATGGGCCCTGCGGGGGCTGCTGGCGGCGGGGCCCCGCTCTGCCGGGCCGCGCTCCCGCCCCGGGGCCTGCGCGGGTCTCTCAGCAAAGCCCCCCGGTTTTGGGGGGAATCCTCTCCCCCCGATGGGGATAGCGTTGCCTTGCCGGCATGCTGATAAGCTATAAAATGGTTCCTTCTTTGTGTAATAATGGCTGTTTCGCCGGGAAATAGGCGCTGGGTCCGGGAGTGTCCCAGCTTCCCGTGGCTGGGCGGGACGTAGGGTTTGTCACTGAAACATTCCCAGCAGAATCCGCGGGCGCCGTCTCTGAGAGCTCGGGATGAGCGGGTGCTTGGTGTGCAGGCTGTTAAACACGTACGGCTTTGTGTGGGAGTGATGGGTTTGGGTTTTTTTGAACGCTTTTTCAATTCGCAGGTTTCTGATGAAGCTGAGCCATGAGACTGTGACCATCGAGCTGAAGAATGGGACGCAGGTGCATGGAACGATCACAGGTACGGCAGGATAGGAGGCTGTAGCGAAGTGTTCCCAGTCGCCTTTCGGCAAACAATTGGCAGCCACGGCTCGGATTGAGCTTTTTTTTGTCCTGTGCTCCCTCTTGCGGGGACCCGCGCTGGAATAAAAGCTTTTGAATTCACGTATCTGTGTGGAAGCGCGAGGTGCGTTTGTGTTTGTGTCTGGATATTGTCGGAAGTTGCTGGGAAGAGTCAGGAGCTGTGACCAGCCAGCATTCCGTAGGCAACCATGAAAATACTGGGTAATTTCAATGGATCACAGATTGTCTTTGATCTGTATTAGTGGGTGAGTTCACCCGTGGTTAGCCAGAGTATATTTTGTGATTATCTTTCTCTGTTTTTAAGGTGCTGCTGGGAGGCTGTAAATTCATTGTAGCACTGGGAGCCTCTGAGCCTGACTGGGCTTTGCCTCCAAACAGGCTCAGGGGGAAGGAAGTAAACTTTCCCAAACCATCACAAAGCCAGTGCAAGCGTGTTGTAGTCTCTTAGAATTTTAGCAGCATGATCACAGAATCATGAAATGGTTTGGGTTGGAAGGGACCTTAACGATCATCTAGTTCCAACCCCAGTGCCATGGACAGAGACACTTCCCGCTAGACCAGGTTGCTCAGAGCCCCATCCAGCCTGATCTTGAACACTGCCAAGGATGGGACATCACAGCTTCTCTGGGAAAACTGTTCCAGTGGTAATGTGGATGAAGTGGTTTTACTGCTGTATCAAACAGGTAGTGGGTATGCAGCTAAACTTCTGTAAGATGTTTCGGTGCCTCAGAATTTCACTTCAATAAAAATGTTGCAGCTGAATCACCTGAAGAGGGACTTATTTTTTCAATGGTAGCACAGATAAATGCCAAAGGTTAAGTGCTGATGTGGTCTTCACGTTGGTTACATTTTGTACATAGGCAGTTCTAATCAAAAACATAATTATTTCTGTTGAACATGTTTTTACTCTGTTTAAGGTGAACTTAGATGCAAGTACATATTTGCATATATTTGCATTGATTTAATAAGATTGTGGGTTTGAAAATGTGAAGCTGGATGTGGAATTCAGGGCAAAAAGGAATCCTGTCAATGAGAGTATGCCCCCCTGCTGCTGCCAGGGGTCTGTCATGTTAGTTTGTGGGTGTTATTGTTTAGCAGATGCTTCTTCGTTTCACTGAACTGAAAGTTGTAGGGAAAGTCCTTATGGTTTAGTATATGGTTCTCATGTATTAAAAAATGTGCAAACTATTTTGTTTGCTTTAATAATCTCAGTGAGGGACATTGTTCTGAGGGTGTTCCTGTGAGCTTTACTTCAGAGACATCAGGTATGTGGGTGGTGCAGATTGTGTTTAACAAGGCAAACCCTCACAGGTGAGCTGAGGAAGGTGCTTTATCTCCTTTCCTACACTCACCTCAGGCAACTTTTAAAAGCTCTTCTGCTGAGACACTCTTTAAAAAAAAGTACAACTCCGTCAAGTTTGAATTTTATTCCAGAGGATTGCTTAGGTGCTTTTTTGGCCAGTAGCAATCTGTGGAGATTTGTCAGAGTTCAAAACAGGCATTATTTTGCAGCCAGGTCCGTCAGCTTTGATTAGAGGCGAGTGCACCACCCTGGTACCCGATTGCAGCATGCTTTGTTGAACCCAGCCAGGTGGGAAGCAAACACACTGCTGGTCTCCTGACCTCACTGCTCTTTCAGGCTTAATTGTTGAGCAAAGCTTCTCTCATTTACTGCTAAGAACCTGCAAAAACTTGGAATGCAGTCCATATTTCTCAAACTGCAGTCTTCCCTTTACAGTGGTCGGTGAACTGTGTTCATAATTGCTGTGCTGTTGGATTGTGCAATCTCTTCGGGGGGTTGGCCAGAGCTGGGTTGCCAAAGAGGCAGGTTTCATATAATACACCTTACATGAACCAAGGGTCTGGGTCAGGTGGAGCGGAGGAGCCAGAGCTCTGTAAAATCCAGAAGGAGGAGGATGAGGACGGAGGAAGTACATGGAATAAGCACAGCACAGTGGTTCTTCTGGTTCTGGGCTGATGGTCACTTGTGTTACTTACCTTGGTAACACATTTTACAGTTTATTTTTATCACAAAGGGTTGTTTGTACAGAAGTTTGAACACATTAAAATTTTGCTCCTGTGGGTGCCTTGTCGCTGAATTAGCAGGTGTTTGTAAACAGCAGTGTCAATCTTTTGTCTCTGTTTTGATTTGAAAAAGTTACTCTTGTTTTCATCTTTGTAGCTGGAGATCAAATCCCATGGAGAGCTCGTCATATGCAAAATAAAAACTTTTTAATTGCTTCTCATGACTGTTATTTAATACATGCATCTAACTGAGATAGTTTCCGTTTTGGGATTACGCATAGCACAGCATAGTGGGCACAGTACTGATTCCATACAATTCTTACATACTGGCTGTTCTCAGAGTGTGTGAGCACAATGGTTGTTCCTTACAGGAGGGTATTTTGTGTACTTTCGTAGTAGATACCACTCTGGTATTGGATGTATTTTATCAGAAAATAAATGCTGCTTTGGTGGTTGGATTTTCCTAAGGCTTACAGAAAAACCTCAGAGGTTTTACTTGTATTTAAAGTAGTAAGGACAGTATTAGACTTCTGTAATAAACAGCAGTTTATTTGTTTTTCAGAACTGATTTAATCATTGGCTACTAGATGTTTAGCCACTGGCTACCTGGCTATTGCCAGGACCTAGATAAAGCTCTCTAGCAATAACATGTTAAAGGCACCCATTGATATCTTATTGGGCATAATTTAAGAGAGAAAAAGACACGTAGTTTCATTCCATTAGAGGGTGAATTATTTAATGAGTGGCAGAAGCAGGTATTAATGATCAGGCTAGATCTTGAAGCATGTGCATTCTTAAAAATAGGCAACAAGAGACCTCATCCCTGAAATCAGGCTTGTGTTGTTTCAGGAGTGGATGTCAGCATGAATACACATCTCAAAGCAGTGAAAATGACACTGAAGAACAGAGAACCTGTACAGCTGGAGACGCTGAGTATTCGAGGGAATAATATCCGCTACTTCATTCTGCCGGACAGTTTGCCTCTGGATACTTTGCTAGTGGATGTTGAACCAAAAGTCAAATCCAAGAAAAGAGAAGCAGGTTAGTTTGTGCTTTCCTGTGTTTGTTCTGCCTTTGTATGCAGTTTAGTCCTCTGAATCTGAAGACATCTGATTTGAGTGTCTTAATGTCTGCATTTGGTGTCTAATTCCTTCCTCTTTGAGGGTTTGATACTACACTGGTTTAATCTGCCTTTCCCACCTTCTTGACATCTGCAGAGCGTTCATTCACATGAAATTATGCGTATGGCTTTTCATGCATCTGGTTTTAAAAATGTAAATGTTTTGCAGCTTGAGTAAATCTTCACCTATCTCAGTCTCAGAGTTGGCAACAGAGATTTACACTTTTCTGAGTGTCTGCTGGGTTTCCCCAGTTTGTATGGGGAGCTTCACATAGACTAATAAGAAAGTACAGGACGGTATCTCAAACAGTACTGAATGGTTCAACTGAAATTTGATGGTGGATAAAAATGGTATCTCTGAGAACTGGATTTGAGAGACCTGAGAACCTGAGGGAGTCTAGGCTGTATATTCCAATGAGCACATCTCTAGCTTTGGTTCCCAGGAGTGTTCCACTCTGCTCTTCCTGGAACTTTTTTCTCAAAAAACTGTTGAACAAAAATCTTTTCCTTAGAAGCCAAACGTTATAGAGAGTAATTCAGTTTTAATCCAGACTATTAAAGATCAATATCCAGTAAACCCCAGAATATCTGTAGCAGTATATATTTTGCCCAGCAGTTAGTCTGTGTATTTTTAAAATAGCAAGCTGTGAGTGAAAGCTAATTGTGCTCTAAAGTAGTGCTGTACCCTTTCTCCTGCAATTAGTGTGTAAGTATGTGGATCTGCAGTGTGTTATGCATTAGTGTGCTCACGTTTCTGATGTGGTGTGAGGAGCCCTTGGGTGCATCACCAAGTGCAAGCGCTGTAGCTGTTGTCTCTATAGAGAATACGGATAAAACCCCAAGGGGATTTTGCTCCTCTCACGTCCATTAAAAACAATCTGACTACATGGAGAAATGAGTGTGATTGGATTGCTTTTTTTCCTGAACCCCAGAGTGTTTGGTTCTTTGAGGGAAGCAGCTGTGATAGCCCCAGTTACCTCCGTTTGATGCTCGCTGCATCCACAGCGTGCAGAAGCACTCTGACTGCAGCTGTGTTGTGCTGCCTTAATCCGTAATCGCTCTTCAGCTTCAGGAGTGTAAAGCCCATGGTCTGTCCTTGGCAAGTGGAATTGTCAGTGGAAGGCAGGATGCTGGCTGTGCTTGTATGTGGCACATGTGCTTTGGGTCCAGGTGTGCTGGCGCTTAGCAAATGCAGCTCTCTAGTGATGCACATAGCTGCTGCCATCATTTAGTCAGGTGTTGACACTTCCGTGGAAATTACAGAGTCAGTCTATTATCAGCAAAAAAATGACACCTTGCTTCTGTGAAATTTGCCCTGTGCCTCTGCTCTTTCTGTCTTTGCTGCATTTGTGACCTACATGCCAGAATAATCCACAGCCTGCTCTGTGAAGGGGTGTTAGTGTGTGTCTCTTACTGAGCCACCCATTTCTGCAGAGTTTTTAGTATCTTTGTGAGCCCTGCACTCATAAACATGATTGAAATGAACCCGTAATTTCTTAAGTTTGTAGGGTGGCCTAGCAACTGGGTGGGTCAAGTCACGTTTCTTTAGGAGAAACGGGTGCAATGGCACGTTATCACTGTATGGATCATGCAACCTTCAGCAGTTGCAGCCTGAATTACCCTGTACTTTTGTCTTCCCTTTACCATTAAATAACAGTAATTAAAACTGGGGGTACACAGCCAAGACCTTGGCCTCAGAGTCACGTTTGAAATTGGCAGAGGTATCACTGAAAATAGCTGTTTGGTGGTGGGATCCCTTCAAAATGCTGCCCTTCCACATGGTGCCTGAGAATGGTGAGCTTGGAAATCACACCATGTTAAAACTCTCATTTCCCCTAAGCAGAGTATTTAATAAACCACAATGAGAGCTGTGGCCAAAAAAAAAAAAAATCTTATCCTCTGTACTGTATAGTAACAAAATACTCGTCTTGCATACACTTTTTCTGATCCCTTCTGGAAAATGAGATTTTATGAAAACAAAAAAGAGGAGGAATCCTAGTTCCCTCTCAGACCTACCCTAGCACTTGGGAGCAGCCAGCTGTTACATCCCCTTGTTTTCTGCAGTGAAGCCAAGGACAGACAGTAGTCTGTGGAAGTTGTATACTGAAAAACCCAGTATTAAAGATGAAAATATTGCCTGAGGCTTACTGAGCGTTAAAAGACTTAATGTCTGACTTAATGTCTCATCACATGGAAGCAGTGTAGTGTTTATGCTCGATACAGAATGTTTTAATCAAAATGAAAGTATTCCTGGGTCTCACTTGATTTATCCTTTTTCTTTCACCTGCTAAGTTGCTGGAAGAGGCCGTGGCAGAGGCCGTGGCAGAGGCCGAGGTCGTGGAAGAGGAAGAGGAGGCCCAAGACGATAACTTCTCATCACGCAACTGTTACCAAATTCTGGGCAATTTCAGATATTTTTTTGTACAGGTCTTGTTTATGGTATCCATTTTTAATAAACTGAAATGTGAAAAGGTCGTCTTTCCTTTGTTAGCAGAGCCTGGGGAGGGAGGTGTGTCCTGTTTCCAGGGGCTGTTACAGACTAAGCAGGTCTTGTTGGTGTTGGTTGTCACTGTCCAGATTTGGCACACCCCTGAAGGCTGTACAATTGCCTCTTGCTTTTTGCCCCAGAACGAGAGACTTGCGTTGTTGTGCTTTAACGATGTTTGAAATTAATCCTTCTTTTGTAAGGCACTTCCGTCTTCTAATGGTTACATAGTTAAGACACTGTATAAAGAACCCCCATCCCATGAGTGTTTCTCAAATGTTCTTCAGAGTGACTATTTTAAAGTTCATAGATCTAATTTTAATGTTTTCTATTATATGAAGCTTACAATTTAAACATGTTGCTTTCTTTATAAAACATTTACATAGGGAAATTAACCAGGTCCGTGGAACTGCTGGATTGTTACATCTGATGATTAAAGAACACCTGGATATGAACTTTGTCAAAGCTAATTATATGGCATACTTTTGTTTGGGTGGGGCTCATAAAGCAGCTTTATCACAGATACCTTCTAGTGTACTTAAAGTGCATCCCTAGAAAATACAAAGTACAGCATAGTGCACAGTTATGTACTGGAATTGGAAGCTTACTTCTTGGGGGGAAAGAACTTGTGCAACTCATATATATGTTTGCATATATATATATAAACTGCTTTGCTGAACAGCAGTATAAAAGAAGCCATGTTGGCCACATTTATCTCCCAATACCATGCTACTGATTTCTCCCATGTAGGAAAGGGATTATCACATTCTCACTGGCAGACTTCAACTATTTCCTCTGTTGATGAAATACAGATGTCATTTCAAATAAAGTGCACTCTTAAGTGCAGCTGTCTTGAATGGGTAAAGGATATTTGCTGGTACTTTGGTGCAGGAACATGCTTAGTTGGTTGCTCATGTTTCCGCACAGGCAGTGCTACAACAAAGTGGAAAAGAATTACCTAACATTGTGTAATGGGCTGATGTGCTGGTTAATTTATGCTAATTAGCATTTTGTGAGCTGCTCTTCTGGTTTCCCCCCTCATACATAGGCTATTTTAAAGCTTCATCTTGTTACAGAAGAGCTTTTTTTTTCCCAAACCATCATGGAACCTCCCAAGAGCACTTTTTGGTCAATATAGCACCCACCATTCTCAACTCTATAAATAGCTGCTACAAATAATGGTTGCTGCTGTCTTCCAGAAGTGCCCTGTCACTGATGACGGGGGTAAGGTCTTCCCAAATCCAGCTGTCAGCATTCATGCAACTGTTGAAACTCTTTCCCTCTTCAGTCTCTTCCTTATAAAAGTCATTAGTGCCCCCAGGGGTATGCACATGGTGGATGCTGCCACCAGCAGCCCGATCACCGCGAGGGCGTAGCCTGGGTAATCCTTTGTCACCAGCTGCCCCTGCAAGGGAGAGAAGCAGTGTTGGATCTGTGGGATTTGTGGTTTTGAGAGTCCAGGAGTCGGGTCAGGAGCAAAGCTATGCACACGGATCTAAGTGAGACTTCTGAGAAGCACTTTCTGGCTGTGCCAGCCCACAACTGCCCTCAGTGCTGTTCTTTGCCCAACCACCTTGAAACTGACAACAAGAACAGAGCTGCTGACAACAGGATTGGGGGAAATTTCTGCAAGCTTTGGGAAAGAGCAGATTTTGGCTTGATTTGTGTCTCTTAATGAGGTGGCTGGACCCTGACCTCTGTCAGGCCTCCGTGTTCCTCTCCTGGAGGCTGTGGGCTCATGCTGACACCCAGTCAACAGACCAGGCCCACCATGGGTCCTAAATTGTTTTTGTGTCATGGCCAATTACATATTTTGTTTCTGCACAATGGGAACATTTCCACAAAAGGTTATGGAACCAGTGATTACTTATCCAATAGTAATTACTCTGTGATAAATACACAGTTCAGTATTCGTACAAAAGTGTTCTTGGCCATGAAGAAAAATGGATATGGAAATTATGAAAACCATTCCAGCAGCAGTTTGATTCTTTTAAAATACCAGTAATTTTGTTCAAAATAATACACTTTGAAAGTAGGTTTTTTTTGTTTAAAGTGGTTTTTGAAAGATATTTGGGTCTTCAACATTAATAATGTTTTACTGTATGAAGGAATTGATTAAGAATCAGAGGGATGTTAGTTGATTTTACAGAATCATGGCATCATCATTAGGTCAAGTTTTCCTTGTTTTTCCTTTCCACAAATTTAGGGGTTGGCCCTCACTCTAGCTGCAAGCTTTCTAGTTTTGTGGAACGGTTTAGTTAGTTAAGAAGGCTGTATCCTTGCAGGAACTAGGGAAAGTTTAAAAAGCAAAAACCCCTCAAAACTATTTTACCTGTGTGGCATCCCACGCTTGGTATTGCAAGGTTCCTGTGAGGATATAGTCGGTGAGGTAAAATATAAACAGGCTTATAATTAGCAGAGGACTAACAAAGGCCCATATAATTTTCCAATACCAGTTTGGCTTGCGTCCAATCATGGTGTAAAGATCTTTCTCAAATCTGTGTTGAAAAAAAACCAAAAGCATGTTTTTGAGAACAGCTGCATATGTTCAATCGATACCTTTTTCTGAGTTACTTCAAAACCACCTGCAGAATTCCATGTCAGATGAGAAAGGGGAGTACAGTTCACCACAAATGAGCAGAGAGGTATTGTCTGAAGAACTGGCTCACCAGACTCAGCATGAGGGTGAAATCAAAACAGACAGTGGGACTTCCAAGAGAACCCCAAACTGCAGAGAGTAGCTAGAAATAGGTACAGCAAGAAAAGTTCTGGCTTGAATATAAGTTCAGAGTGTTTCTGATGTCAGTTAAGAGAGAAAAGCAATGACACTCAAGTATTGTGGAGGAAACTGCTGGGTTTTGTGTAGTTGAGTTGTTCTCACTGCTGTCTTTGAGGAAGTACTAATACTGGGGATTGTACCTAAAATCTCACAGGAGACCTGGATCTGACTGGAAGGCTTTGAACTCATCAAGGACATAATACCCTTGTAGGTGCCTGTACACGTACTTTGCTGGCAGACTAACAAAGAAAATGCTGAAGCCTTTTCCTTTAGATGCCATAAGCACAAACACCTCTGCTGTTCAAAACCTTTCCTGATGCCAAAGCTTACTTTTGCCCACAAGGGATGACTTGGGACACCAGCAGTCTGTGAGGTGACCACCTTTGAAACCAGACTTACTGGCACTGTTGTGCTCATGCTGAACTACTGTCACAGGAGGAGCAGAGTTTTGGCAGAAGGTGCTCTTGAGACCGAAGACCAGAGCAGGGAGCAGGTGCGTACAGCTCATTAGCACTTGCCTGCCAGCAGAGGTGGTGTCAGCCCACCCTGGCCCCTGTACAGCCCTGAACCAAGGCCCTGGAAGGGGTCTGCAGGGCAGGGGAGACCCCCATCGCCTTGCTGATACTATAGCATAGGACAAACATACAGCCTAGGGCAGTATTTTTATTCTTAGCCCGGCATGTCCTGGCTCTTGGCCACTCCCCCTGCTATCCCACTGTAAAGAAAGGAGGATTCAAGCTTTTACCTTCTTATCCCATAGATGTAACACACAGCGATGGTTTCTACTAGCACGATGAGCAGCAGAGAGAGGGTGGCTGCATAGTCATTGAATATGTCAAACCAGTAGTTTCCAGCCTCCATGGTGAAGATCAGGCCAATCACACAGTTAATGAAACACACAACACCTGCATGGATAAAAGAGAGACCCTGCCATTACACTTGGAAGTCTAATTGTGTGTGGGAAATGTCATACTCCTTGTGACTAAAAAACGCGTAGAATTTCTGCTGAGCAGCTTTCTCTGAGGAGAAGGATAATTTCTTTTCCCTTACGGAAAAGATCTGTCTCTTTGCATGTGTGACTGTGCTGGTGTGTCCTTAAACTGCTCTCCAGACCTGCATAGTCACAGGACGTCACTCCAGAAACAGTCAAGACAACGAAGTCTTGGCTATAGCCTTGTCACATGGTGCTGCCACTGGGCACCCTGCTAAAACAGGTTTTAAGATGGGACAACTGATTTCCATGCCTGAACAGGAGCACGTATTACTTTTGGCCAAAGACAGGTGTTTCGCAGTTGGGATACTGGTGATGTGACTAAAGAGCTGCTCACTGCAAGTATCTTTACACCTGTACTGTCTCTTTGAGTTTCACCAGTCAGTAGACACCATTATGAAGGAGTTGGGGTATGTGGGGAAGCCTGTAAATACACAGCCACAATTGTGCTAGTGCTTTGGGAGCTCCGGAGGGGAAGGGCTTTGAAGGCAGGGCAGGATTTCACAAAGGCAGGCAAACCTTTCCAGCAGCATATTTACTATTCCCTGCTCCACTCAAGGTCAGAGGGGGCCCCTCAGTGGCAGTGGAACACCAAAGCCTTTGCACACACACACTGTGCGGCCCACACTGTGACACGGTGGGCGCTTACCTGAGATCACCTCCTTGGGGAAGCGGGCGCCAATGACTCTGCTGTCGGTCAGCGGTGTGAGGATGGCGGCCATGTTCCCCAGCATGCTGCCAATGCCCAGCATCAGCAGCATGAAGAAGTAGAGCACAGAGTACAGCTGGGGCACCTCCATGTTTTTGATCGCTTCAGAATAGACTATAAATGCCAGTCCTGTCCCCTGGACAGCCTGTCAGAGAGAAGGGGAGAAAAATGAGTTACAGGCAGCTCCTTATCCTTGATAAAGGACATAAGATGGACATAAGAGAGTGACTCTGTGTCGTGACAAGGTACACGAGCTGTGGTGGTTGTGCACAGCAAAAGCAGATGAGATTCTTGCCAGTTTATCCAAACTGCACGGACACTGGCATAGTGCCACTTGTAGCAAAAAAACATTTACCCCAAATCTTTGTGACCTGCCCTGTTCCACAGCCAGAGCCAGCAGTCAGACTGCACTGCCACCCAGCTCAGCTGCTAACCACCCAGGCAAGCCCCTTGCCCCATCCTGACGAGTAGAAATGATCTCCAGCCCTGGTCAGGCTTGCATGGGGCTGCCCGGGCTCAGTGGGAGGAGAGGAGACAGCACAAAGTGGCAACTCACCGTGTCTAGCTCAGCTTCTAAGCTGCAGTTTTTAATCTGAGGCGCTAATTGGGCATATTCCTGTGGGAAGGTGGCCATGAGGTAGTCTTTCTTCTCACTGAGGTTGTCCGCTGTCAAAGAGCCTTCCTCCAGGTCAAAAGCGTTCAGCAGCAGCAGGATCACTCTGGGAAGGATTGCAGGCATTTAATGGCTTTCAGGCCCAGAACACCTCATCCCCTTCTCCATCAGTGTCCAGGACACCTCATCCCCTTCTCCATCAGTCCCCACATGTGGATGTCCTGCTGGCCCCAGGGATCCAGTCTCCCCAGGTGAGAGCCATGGCACTTCCAGAATGGGATATGGGCGATCTTGCGCTTATCTGTGCTTTGTAGGAAGCAGCTCCTGCACCCACACTGTGCTCCCAGGCAGGTATTTTGGGTG